ACATAGATAGATAGATAAATAAATAAATTGATGATAGATAGATAGATAGATAGATAGATAGATAGATAGATAGATAGATAGATAGAATCCTAGAGTTGGAAGAGACCCCAAAGGGGGCCATCAGGTCTGACCCCCTTTTGCCATTCGGGAAGACATCATCTGATCTCTCCTGGCAGATGGCCATCCAACCTCTGCTTCAAGACCTCCATCCCCTCTTGGTCTCACCCCCTCCCGAGCCCCCTCCCCCTGGGCTCCCACTCACCGTGCCGCCTGCTTCGGGGGTCGGACTCTGCCCGGCTGCAGACCCTCGCTCGCTGGCCGGGGCTTTTTCTTTCTCTGCTGGGCCCTCCCTCCCCGCCCTTCCTTCCTTTGGCCGGCCTCAACTACGTCTCTTTCAAGTCAGGGGAGGAAATGGGGAAGCCAGAGAAGGGGGAAAATACTCTATTTACTCTAATCTCATCTCAATGATGTGTCTCTACAAGGGCTGCACCAATAATAATAACAACAACATGTTTGGTCAAAGGCTTTCATGGCCAGAATCACTGGGTTGTGAGTTTTGCGTACGTTGACGATATCGTAGTCTATGCTCTTTCAGATGTGCATGTCTGTATGTGTGTATGTTGATATCGTAGTCTATGCTCTTTCAGATGTGTATGTATGTGTGTACGTTCACAATATTGTAGTCTATGCTCTTTCAGCTGTGAATGTCTGTATGTGTGTATGTTGATGATATCGTAGTCTATGCTCTTTCAGATGTGTATGTATGTGTGTATATTGATGAAATCGTACTCTATGCTCTTTCAGCTGTGCATGTCTGTATGTGTGTATGTTGATGATATCGTAGTCTATGCTCTTTCAGATGTGTATGTATGTGTGTACGTTCACAATATTGTAGTCTATGCTCTTTCAGCTGTGCATGTCTGTATGTGTGTATGTTGATGATATCGTAGTCTATGCTCTTTCAGATGTGTATGTATGTATGTACATTCACAGTATTGTAGTCTATGCTCTTTCAGCTGTGCATGTCTGTATGTGTGTATGTTGATGATATCGTAGTCTATGCTCTTTCAGATGTGTATGTATGTGTGTACGTTCACAATATTGTAGTCTATGCTCTTTCAGCTGTGCATGTCTGTATGTGTGTATGTTGATGATATCGTAGTCTATGTTTTTTCAGATGTGTATGTATGTGTGTACGTTCACAATATTGTAGTCTATGCTCTTTCAGCTGTGCATGTCTGTATGTGTGTATGTTGATGATATCGTAGTCTATGCTCTTTCAGATGTGTATGTATGTGTGTACGTTCACAATATTGTAGTCTATGCTCTTTCAACTGCATGTCTGTATGTGTGTACGCTGATGACACCGTAGTCTATGTTTTTTCAGCTGTGCATGTATGTGTGTATATTGATGAAATCGTACTCTATGCTCCTTCATCTGTGCATGTATATATGTGTGTACACTGATGATATCATAGTCTATGCTCTTTCAGCCACGCACCTCTGTATGTGTGCACACTGATGATATTGTAGTCTATGCTCTTTCAGCTGTGCATGTCTGTATGTGTGTATGTTGATGATATCGTAGTCTATTCTCGTTCAGCTGTGCATGTATGTATGTGTGTATGCTGATGATATTGTAGTCTATGCTTGTTTTTCAAAGTGTTCCATGTAGAAATTTGCTATGACCGGGCTGAGAGTGCTTCCCTGCCATAGATGTGGGCAAAACGTCAGGAGGGAATGCTTCTGGAACATAGCCATACAGCAACCCAGTGATTCTGGCTGTGAATGACAACATTACGGGGCCACAAGCTCCTCGTTGCCCGTTGCGTCCAGTGGGGTTCTTTCTTGGGCCTGCTGGCCAAGGCTTGACCTTTGGGAAGAGCTCCAGCCAGTCTGGCCGCTGCAAAGCCCGAGCGGATCTTATCGGCCGAAGCAGGAAGTGTGGGAGCCGAGATGGAGACGGGGACAAGGCCGTGGCCGGACAGACGGACAAAGGGAGGGAAGTGGACGCAGACCGAGGGGGGGGGGGTCCCACCCAAGTTCCTTCTCTGCATTTCCTGCATTTGGAACCCAAGGAGGGGACCCCAAAGGTCATCTAGTCTTCTGCCAGACAGGGAAAGCACAATCAAAGCTCTCCAGACAGATGGCCATCCAGCCTCTCTATTATTATTATTATTAATCAATAATAATAATGGAATTCTAGGGTTGGAAGGGACCCCAAAGGTCATCTAGTCCAACCCTGTTCTGCCAGGTAGGAAAGGCACAATCCAAGCTTTATTGACAGATGGCCATCCGGACTCTGATATTATTATTATTATTATTATTATTATTATTATTATTATTATTATTGTCGTTGTTATTGTTATTATTATTATTATTCAATAATAATAATGGAATTCTAGGGTTGGAAGGGACCCCAAAGGTCATCTAGTCCAATCCTCTCCCTCCAGGCAGGAAAAACACAGTCAAAATTCTCCCGACAGATGGCCATCAGCCTCTCATATTATTATTATTATTATTATTATTATTATTATTATTATTATTATTATTATTGGTATTATTCTTCAATAATAATAATGGAATTCTAGGGTTGGAAGGGACCCCAAAGGTCATCTAGTCCAACCCTATTCTGCCAGGACAATCCAAGCCCTCACGAGAGATGGCCATCCAGCCTCTCATATTATTATTATTATTATTATTATTATTATTATTATTATTAATAATAATAATAATAATAATAATAATAATAATAATAATAATAATGGAATTCTAGAGTTGGAAGGGACCCCAAAGGTCATCTAGTCCAACCCTATTCTGCCAGGACAATCCAAGCCCTCACGAGAGATGGCCATCCAGACTCTGATGATATTATTATTATTATTATTATTATTATTATTATTATTATTATTATTATTGGTATTAATAATCAATAATAATAATGGAATTCTAGAGTTGGAAGGGACCCCAAAAGTCATCTAGTCCAACCCTATTCTGCCAGGACAATCCAAGCCCTCACGAGAGATGGCCATCCAGACTCTGATGATATATATTATAATCAATAATAATAATGGAATACTATTATTATTATTATTATTATTAGATTCATAGATTTTTTTTTATTATTAGATTCCTAAAGGGTCCTCAAAGGCCATCTAGTCCAACCCTATTCCGCCAGGCTGGAAAAGCACAATCAAAGCCCTCCCAACAGATGGCCATCCAGCCTCTGTTTTAAAGCCTCCAAAGAAGGAGCTTCTATATCTATCATCGAATCCTAGAGTTGGAAGGGACCCCCAGATGTCATCAAGTCCATCCAGCCATAGATATGATATAATAGATAGGAATCCCCAGAGGGCATCTAGTCCATCCAGCCATAGATATAATAGATAGGGACCCCCAGAGGTCATCTAGTCCACCCAGCCATAGATATAATAGATAGGGACCCTCAGAGGGCATCAAGTCCACCCAGCCATAGATATAACAGATAGGGACCCCCAGAGGGCATCAAGTCCACCCAGCCATAGATATAATAGATAGGGACCCCCAGAGGTCATCTAGTCCACCCAGCCATAGATATAATAGATAGGGACCCTCAGAGGGCATCTAGTCCACCCAGCCATAGATATAACAGATAGGGACCCCCAGAGGGCATCTAGTCCATCCAGCTATAGATATGACATAATAGATAGGGACCCCCAGAGGGCATCTAGTCCATCCAGCCATAGATATGACATAATAGATAGGGATCCACAGAGGTCATCTAGTCCACCCAGCCATAGATATGACATAATAGATAGGGAACCCCAGAGGTCATCTAGTCCACCCAGCCATAGATATGACATAATAGATAGGGACCCCCAAAGGGCATCTAGTCCACCCAGCCATAGATATAATAGATAGGGAACCCCAGAGGGCATCTAGTCCACCCAGCCCCAGATATGATATGACAGATAGTATGTAATGTATCATCTACTTACATTGCAACCAAGTGGGCACCCTGGCAGAATGGGGGGACCAAAAGGCATCACCGCAGCACAGCACACGCACACACACGCATGAGGGGTCTCCTAAAGGTCATCTAGTCCAGGATCTCCTTGATGCACCAGCAGCAGAGGAGGAGGAAGAGGCATTCTTGGAGGGCCCGCACCACCCCATAGCACAGGCCACTGTTGTGCTGGCCTTTGTAAGCCGGGAAGGCCTGTCGTTGGGGTGCCCCCCTTGGAAAATATTGGGGTGCGCCCCACGGACGGGGCCTCGGGAACCACTGCATCTTGTCCCAGGTCCAAACTGGCTCTTTGCAGGCGGCTTCTGCGGTGCTGTGTCCTCCCTGTGTGTGGCCTGGATGCTTCTCTGCTTGTCATGGGTGGGCACTATTATTATTGTTCCACGCACCACGAAGCTTCTGAGTTCGGTCATGAGCCTCATGAGGCCAGTTGGGTGGGGATAGTGCCCTGCAGAGAGGAGAACTATCCTCCACCACCCCTCGTCCTATATGGCAGAGGAATCTGTAGGTAAGAACTTAAGGGCAGAGGATGCAGCTCTGAATATATTATTATTATTATTATTATTATTATTAGATTCCTAGGGTTGGAAAGGGACCCTCAAAGACCATCTAGTCCAACCCATAATAATAATAATAATAATAATAATAATAATAATAATAATAATAATAATAATAATAGAATTCTAGGGTTGAAAGGGACCCTCAAAGGCCATCTAGTCCAACCCATAATAATAATAATAATAATAATAATAATAATAATAATAATAATAATAATAATAGAATTCTAGGGTTGAAAGGGACCCTCAAAGGCCATCTAGTCCAACCCATAATAATAATAATAATAATAATAATAATAATAATAATAATAATAATAATAGAATTCTAGGGTTGAAAGGGACCCTCAAAGGCCATCTAGTCCAACCCATAATAATAATAATAATAATAATAATAATAATAATAATAATAATAATAAATTCTAGGGTTGAAAGGGACCCTCAAAGGCCATCTAGTCCAACCCATAATAATAATAATAATAAGAAGAAGAAGTAATAATAATGGAATTCTAGGGTTGAAAGGGACCCCAAAGGCCATCTAGTCCAACCCATAATAATAATAATAATAATAATAATAATAATAATAATAATAGAATTCTAGGGTTGAAAGGGACCCTCAAAGGCCATCTAGTCCAACCCATAATAATAATAATAATAAGAAGAAGAAGTAATAATAATAATGGAATTCTAGGGTTGAAAGGGACCCCAAAGGCCATCTAGTCCAACCCATAATAATAATAATAATAATAATAATAATAATAATAATAATAATAATAATAGAATTCTAGGGTTGAAAGGGACCCTCAAAGGCCATCTAGTCCAACCCATAATAATAATAATAATAATAATAATAATAATAATAACAATAATAACAATAATAATAATAGTAATAATGAAATTCTAGGGTTGGAAAGGGACCCTCGAAGGCCATCTAGTCCAACCCATAATAATAATAATAATAATAATAATAATAATAATAATAATGGAATTCTTGGGTTGGAAAGGGACCACAAAGGCCATCTAGTCCAACCCATAATAATAACAATAATAACAATAATAATAATAGTAATAATGAAATTCTAGGGTTGGAAAGGGACCCTCGAAGGCCATCTAGTCCAACCCATAATAATAATAATAATAATAATAATAATAATAATAATAATGGAATTCTTGGGTTGGAAAGGGACCCCAAAGGCCATCCATTCCAACCCTCTGCCAGGCAGAAAAAGCACAATTGAAGTCCTCCCAACAGATGGCCACCCAGCCTCTGTTTATATTAATAATAATAATAATAATAATAATAATAATAATAATAATAATCAATAATAATAATTGAATTCTCAGGTTGGAAAGGGACCCTCAAGGGCCATCTAGTCCAACCCTCTGCCAGGCAGGAAAAGCACAATGAAAGCCCTCCTGACTGATGGCCCTGCAGTCTCTGTTTATATTAATAATAATAATTCAATAATAATAATAATAATAATGGAATATTAAAGTTGAAAGGGACCCTCAAAGACCATCTAGTCCAACCCTCTGCCAAGCAGGAAAAGCATAATCAAAGCCCTCCCAACAGATGGCCCTCCAGCCTCTGATTATATTATTATTATTATTATTATTATTATTATTATTATTCATCATCATAATACTAATAATAATAATAATAATTGAATATTAAAGTTGAAAGGGACCCTCAAAGGCCATCTAGTCCAACCCTCTGCCAGGCAGGAAATGCACCATTAAACCCCTCCTGACAGATGGCCAGCCAGTCTCTGAATATATTATTATTAATAATAATAATAATAATAATAATAATGGAATCCTGGGGTTGGAGGGGACCCTCAAAGACCATCTAGTCCAACCCTCTGCCTGGTAGGAAAAGCACAATCAGAGCCCTCCCAACCGATGGCCAGCCTCTGATTATATTAATACTATTATTAATAATAAAATTAAATAATAATAATAATAATAATAATAATAATAATAATAATGGAATTCTAGGGTTGGAAGGGACCCTCAAAGACCATCTAGTCCAACCCTCTGCCAAGCAGGAAAAGCACAATCAAAGCCCTCCTGACTGATGGCTGTCCAGCCTCTGGTAATATTAATATTAATATTAATAATATTTGATAATAACAATAATAATAATGGAATTCTAGGGTTGGAAAGGGACCCCAATGGCCATCTCATCTAACCCTTTGTCAGACAGGAAAAGCACCATCAAATCCCTCCCAACAGATAGCCATCCAGCCTCTGAATATATTAATAATAATAATAATAATAATAATAATAATAATAATAATAATGTAATCCTAGGGTTGGAAGGGACCCTGAAAGACCATCTAGTCCAACCCTCTGCCAGACAGGAAAAGCAGAATCAAACCCCTCTCGGCAGATGGCCATCCAGCCTCTGATTACATTACTATTATTAATAATAATAATCAATAATAATAATGGAATCCTCGGGTTGGAAGAGACCCCAAAGGCCATCTAGTCCAACCCTCAACCTTCAGTCAGGAAAGGCATATATGAGTGTGTTTATATATCTCTTAATACAGCCATATCCCTATTATTCTATGATTTTATGAAATGACAAGGCAGATGGCCAGTTTCAGAGAGAGAGATGGCTTTAATAAGCAGGCGGCAGCAGTGCGTCTGGCTTGGCTTGGTGTGCAAAGCAGCTTCGCCTTCCTTTTGGTCCCGGGTTCAGGGCTGCTTCTCCCAGAAGAAGGCATTGCAGGCCACGGTCAAGGCGGCCACCAGGACCACGAACTCGGAGAAGTCCACCTCGCCGTCCCCGTTCTCGTCCAGGTCGTGCATGATCTTGTCCACCGCCTCCGCATCCTTCTGGGACTGAGACACGCAAGCAGAGACGGTCAATCAAAACAATGGGTAAAGCAGGTGGAACAGAAGCAGATGATCATTTTCCGGCCATGTCCTAGTAGCATTCTCTCCTGACATTTCTCCCACATCCAAGGCAGGCATCCACAGAGGTTGGGAGCTCTGTTGGAAACTAGATAAGTGGGATACACACACACACATATACACACACACACCCACTAGCTGTACTCTGCCATGGGTTGCTGTGCATTTCCCAGGCTGCCTGGCCATGTCCTAGTAGCATTCTCTCCTGACATTGCTCCCACATCCATGGCAGGCATCCACAGAGGTTGGGAGCTCTGTTGGAAACTAGGCAAGTGGGATATATATATACATACACACACACACACATATATATACACTTACACTAGCTGTACCCTGCCACCCATTGCTGTGGCCCATTCTATGTATATGTGTTTTGTGTGTATATATTTGTGTATATGTGTATATGTGTGTGTTTGCATATATATGTGTGTGCATGGTTTTGCATATTCTGTGCATTTCCCAGGCTGCCTGGCCATGTCCTAGTAGCATTCTCTCCTGACATTTCTCCTACATCCATGGCAGGCATCCACAGAGGTTGGGAGCTCTGTTGGAAACTAGGTAAGTGGGAGATATATATATATATATATATACACACACACACACACACACACATACACACACATACACACACACACATACATACACACACACACATATACACACACACTAGCTGTACCCTGCCACACGTTGCTGTGGCCCATTCTATGTATATGTGTTTTTTGTGTGTGTATATATATGCGTATATGTGTATATATGTGTGTTTGCATATATATGTGTGTGTGTGTGTGTATGATGGTAATTGGTTTTTTTTGGCTTTTTAAGTCTCTCCTGCTGTGTTTTTATGAGTGATGGTCACTTATTGGCCTGAGAGTTGTATTGTGTCCAAATTTGGTGTCCATTCGTCTAGTAGTTAAGCCCACAAATGAACACTGCATTTTTATTTTTATTTTTATTTTTAATCTGAGGAAGAATGTCCAGGGTGGGAGAAAGAACTCTTGTCTGTTGGAGGCAAGTGTGAATGTTGCCATTGGCCACCTTGATTAGCATTGAATGGCTTTGCAGCTTCTAAGCCTGGCTGCTTCCTGCCGGGGGGAATCCTTTGTTGGGAGGTGGGTGGGAGAAAGAACTCTTGTCTGTTGGAGGCAAGTGTGAATGTTGCCATTGGCCACCTTGATTAGCATTGAATGGCCTTGCAGCTTCAAAGCCTGGCTGCTTCCTGCCTGGGAGGGGAAATCCTTTGTTGGGAGGTGGGTGGGAGAAAGAACTCTTGTCTTTTGGAGGCAAGTGTGAATGTTGCCATTGGCCACCTTAATTAGCATTGAATGGCCTTGCAGCTTCAAAGCCTGGCTGCTTCCTGCCAGGGGTGGGGGAATCCTTAATTGGGAGGTGTTCGTTGGCCCTGATTGTTTTCTGTGTGGAATTCCCATGCTTTTTTTTTTTAGTCTTCAGCACTGGCCAGCTTGATTAGTATTGAACGGCCTTGCAGCTTCGAAGCCTGGCTGCTCCCTTTGTTGGGAGGACGCTAAATAAAGGAAGCAGCCAGGCTTTGAAGCTGCAAGGCCATTCAATACTAATCAGGCTGGCGAATGCTAATCAAGCTGGAAGAAGACAATTATTATCATGATTATCTATTATTATTATTACAGATTCTTAGAGCTGGAAGGGCAGTGTTTGGACCGCCACCCTTTTAGGCTTGGCATTGGAGGCCCATCAGGGTCGGGGGTGATGGGAGTTGTAGTCCCTTACCTCCAGGAAGCACCCCAGCTCGCTCTGGAGCAGCTCCTTCAGCTCCTTCTTGCTCAGCTTGTACTTGTCTCCTTCTTTGCCCGAATAGCTGTGGAAGACGGAGATGAGGCCCTCCATGGCCGACTCCAGCTGGGAAGCCATCGCTGCTCTTGGTGCTGCTGTGAAAACACAAGCATCCTACTAGCCTTGGAAGGAAGGGGCCCCAAAGGCCATCCAGACCCACCCCGTTCTGCTATATGCACCATTCCATCCCTAACAATAGGTGACCATACAACCTCGGTTTGAAGACCTCCAAAGAAATAGACAAGATAGATCCCAGTCCATCTAGAACGATACCATCAAAGCCCTCCTAACAGATGGCCAGTCTTGGTACATAGATACATAGATAGATCTATATGTAGGTAAATGTTATGTTATTGTATTTGTGTAGGCACCAAGATGTGCCTTTTGTAAGCCGCCCTGAGTCCCCCCTCAGGGGTTGAGAAGGGCGGGGTAGAAGCACACGAAATAAATAATAAAAATAATAAATAGGTGCATACATATATAGATAATACATACATAGATGCATAGATATATTGATACATAAATAGATAGATATGTAGGTAAATAGGTGCATAGATGCATAGATATATCGAAACATAGATGCATAGATAAATATATATGTAGGTAAATAGGTGCATACCTATATAGATAATGCATCGATAGATAGATGCACAGATATATTGATACATAGATAGATAGATATGAAGGTATACATATATAGATCATGCATAGAGAGATGAATAGATAGATAGATAGACAGACAGACAGACAGATAGATAGATATAGATACATAGATAAAGATATATGTAGGTAAATAGGTGCATACATATATAGATAATGCATAGATAGATAGATGCATAGATATATTGATACATAAATAGATAGATATGTGGGTAGGTGCACGGATAGATAGATAATGTATAGATATATTGATACATCGATAGATATACATGTAGGTAAATAGGTGCATACAAATATAGATAATGCATAGATAGATAGATGCATAGATATATTGATACTTAGATTTATATATAGGTAGGTGCAAAGATAGATAATGCATAGATAGATAGATGCATCGATATATTGATACATAGATATATATGTACGTAAAGAGGTGCATACATATATAGATAATGCATAGATAGATAGATTCATAGATATATTGATACATAGATAGATAGACATGTAAGTAAATAGGTGCACACTGCACCTATTTACATAGATAGATAAATATATAGATATATTGATAAATAATGCATAGATAGATAAATATATAGATATATTGATACATAGATATGTAGGTAGGTAGGTGCATACATATATAGATAGATAGATGCATAGATATATTGATACATAAATACATATATATATAGGTACGTGCAAAGATAGATAGACAATGCATAGATAGATGCATAGATATATTGATACATTGATAGATATGTGTGTAGGTAAATAGGTGCATACATATATAGATAATGCATAGATAGATAGATGCATAGATATATTTATAGATAGATAGATAGATAGATAGATAGATAGATAGATAGATGCATAGTTGGAAAGATAGCTAGATACAATCCTAGAGGTGGAAGGCACCCCAAAGAAGGTCATCCAGTCCCACCCTCTTCTGCTATGCAGGAATATACCATCCGATCCCTCCTGACAGATGGCCATCCAGCTTCTGTTTCAGGCCCTCCAGGGAAGGAGACAGATGGATGCAGAGTTAGATATACTAGACATACGAGACATACAGCGACATACTAGAAATATAATAACAGTAATAATAACAACAACAATAACAATGATAGACAGATAGAGATAGATAGATAGATATGGGCATCCTCCTCACCCTTGTGCTGTCCAAAAAGCGAGTGTCCGAAAGAGCCGGTCACTCGGCGGCTTTAAATACGGCCGGAGAACCTTCCCCTGAAAGAGAATCCGATACCAGGAACTGGACGATCCGGTTGATGTCCGAATCGAAAGACCAGCGGGATGGGCCAAAGGAGATTAGCTGTGCACACAAGGGAAAGAGGGCTTCACTCTCGGTGGAAACCGTGGTCAGCGCCTTGGTGGCTTCGTTGGAAGGCTGGAATTTGGGGGGGGGGGGGGGAAGCCCTATGAGGGACGGAAACTTAATGGTTTCCTATGACCATCCTGAAAACACCCATGGTGGAAAACCACTGGAAGCAACGCACTGATCCATCATCCCCAACCAGAAAATATGGCTTTTGGTGTGAGCTACATTATATAACTACGTCTCCCAGTATCCACAGAGTAACTGACCACATCACCCATTATCCTCTGAGTGCTAGGCTACAACTCCCAGTATCCCCAGAGTGCTGAACTACATTTCCCAGTATCACAAAGTACTGGATTACAACTCTAGTATCCTCTCACTGCTGGACTACAACTCCCAGTATCCCCAGAGTGCTGAACTACATTTCCCAGTATCACAAAGTGCAGGACTACAACTCCCAGTATCCTCTGAGTGCTGGACTACAACTCCCAGTATCCCCAGAGTCCTGGACTACATGTTCTAATATCCCAGAGTGCTGGACTACAACTCCCAGTATCCCCAGAGTGCTGAACTACCATTTCCAGTATCACAAAGTACTGGACTACAACTCTAGTATCCTCTTACTGCTGGACTACAACTCTCAGGATCCCTTGAGTGCTGGACTACATCTCTCAGCATCCACAGAATGCTGGAATACATCTCCCAGCATCTCCTGAGTGTGGACTACAACTCCCAGTATCCCCAGAGTGAAGGACTACATCTCCCAGCATCCACAGAATGCAGGAATACATCTCCCAGCATCCCCTGAGTGTGGACTACAACTTCCAGTATCCCCAGAGTGCAGGACTACATCTCCCAGAATCTCCTGAGTGCTGAACTACATCTCCCAGTATCCCCAGAATGCTGGATTACAACTTCCAGTATCCTCTGAGTGCTGTAATACAATTCCCAGTATCCCCTGAGTGCAGGATTACATTTCCCAGCATCCCCTGAATGCTGAACTGCATCTCCCAGTATCCCCAGAATGCTGGACTACAACTTCCAGTATCCTCTGAGTGCTATACTACAATTCCCAGTATCCCCAGAGTGCAGGACTACATATCCCAGTATTCCCAGTGCAGGACTACACCTCCCAGTATCCCCAGAGTGCAGGACTACATCTCCCAGGATCCCCAGAGTGTTGGACTACAACTCCCAGTATCCCCAGAGAGAAGGACTACAGTTCCTAGCATCCTCAGAGTGCTGAACTACAACTCCCAGTATCCCCAGGGTGCCACACTGCGACTCCCAGTATCCCCAGAGTGTCAGATGACAACTCCCAGTCCTGCAACTCCTAGACTATCATGAAGTGGTGTCCAAGGGCATTCATTGGAAGGCCAGGGATCACCCCCATAGACGGCGATATCTGGCAGAGAGTCTTCTGATCTCAAACGATTTTCCGAAATCTCAGCGCCAACGGGGACGAAGATCAATCCTCGGCCTGCGATTGCTGCCGTTGAGGGAGGCCCACCCCGTAACCGATGCCCTAATAAACAGCAGCCTTGCCGGGTATCAATGTCCTTCCGGGCGGCGAGGGGACAATGGAACTCGGGAGGGGGCCCGGATCGCGTTGCGGACCAGAACAAGGGCCCCGCTGAGCGAAAAGAGGCGAAACCGGACCCCGGAGGAGCCAGGACGGGCCGGATCTCCTTACAGGACGAGGAAGAATACACCGCTCCGGCATTAAAGATGCAAGAGGAGGGCCATGAATCATGGATGGCCAGGACACGCTCCCCTCTCGGGGTCAGGACTTGGGGCACCAAAGACGTTTTTCTTTGGTTTTCGGGTTCCGAAAATTGAGGGGCACATTAGGTTCGGCGCTGCGTGAGATTCAACTCAATACGGTATATGGACCAACTTTGGCCTACCCTCCAGGTGCTTTGGACTTCAACTCCCACAATTCCTAACAGCCAGTGTAGATACTTAAGAAGTCAGATCTATCTATTGCTACCTGAAAGTAGGCGTCTCTTAGATCCATCACTCTGCTATCTCGCTGTCTATCTATCTATCTGGACCTGAAGGTAGACCTCCCTTAGGTCCATCACTATCTCCTACCTATATATCTATCTAGCTGTCCATCTATCTATTTATCTATTGGGACATGAAGGTAGGCCTCCCTTAGGTCCATCACTCATCTATCTATCAGGACCCGGAGGTAGGCCTCTCTTAGGTCCATCACAATCTATCAGTTCGGGCTCGGATATAGGCCTCTCTTAGGTCCATCACTATCTATTTATCTATCTGTTTGTCTATTGAGAGCTGAAGGTAGGCTCTCTTAGGTTCATCACTCTTCTATCTATCTATCTATCTATCTATCTATCTATCTATCTATCTATCTATCTGGACCTGAATTTAGGCCTCCCTTAGGTCCATCACTCTATCATCTATCTATCTATCTATCTAGCTGTCCATCTATCTATTTATCTATTGGGACATGAAGGTAGGCCTCCCTTAGGTCCATCATCTATCTGTCTGTCTATCTATCTATCTATCTATCTATCTATCTATCTATCTATCAGGACCCGGAGGTAGGCCTCTCTTAGGTCCATCACAATCTATCAGTTCGGGCTCGGATATAGGCCTCTCTTAGGTCCATCACTATCTATTTATCTATCTGTTTGTCTATTGAGAGCTGAAAGTAGGCTCTCTTAGGTTCATCATTCTTCTATTTATCTATCTATCTGGACCTGAAGGTAGGCCTCCGTTAGGTCCATCACCATCACCTACCTATATATCTATCTAGCTGTCCATCTATCTATTTATCTATTGGGACATGAAGGTAAGCCTCGCTTAGGTCCATCACTATCACCTACCTATATATCTATCTAGCTGTCTATCTGTTTATCTATTGGGACCTGAAGGTAGGCCTCTCTTAGGTCCATCACTACCTATCTGTTGGGACTCAGATATAGTCCTCTCTTAGGGAAATCACTATCTATCTATCTATCTATCTATCTATCTATCTATCTATCTATCTCTATCTATTCGGACCTGAAGATGGTCCTCTCTTAAGTCCATCACTCTATTATCTAGCTAGATCTATCTATCTATCTATCTATCTATCTATCTATCTGTCTGTCTGTCTGTCTGTCTGTCTGTCTGTCTGTCTGTCTGTCTGTCTGTCTGTCTGTCTATCTATCTATCTATCTATCTATCTATCTATCTATCTATCTATCTGGACTTCCCTTAGGTCTATCTATCTATCTATCTATCTATCTATCTATCTATCTATCTATCTATCTATCTATCTAGTAAACTATTCCTATCTATCTATCAGTACCTCTTAACTCGATTGATTATTTGTTTATCTATTTATTTATCCATCTTTCTGTTGGGACATGGAGGTAGGCCTCTCTTAGGTCCATCACTATTATCTATCTTTCAGTCTATCAATCTATTGATCTAATATATAATACTAATGTTATGAATGATGCATTAATACTATGCTAATAAAGTAGTATGTTGTATGTACATGTACATATGACTTGTAAGCTGCTCTGAGTCCCCTTCGGGGTGAGAAGGGCGGCATATAAATGTCGTAAATAAATAAATAAATAATATTATATTATTCTATTAGTATTCTATTATTGTATTATTATAATTATATTTTATATCATTTTATTTTATTTTTTGTATCATTATTTCATTATGATTGCATTATTCTAGTGTGTGTGTGTGTGTGTGTGTGTTTTCATCTCTTCTAACTCCACTCTGCCCCATTTGCAAGTGCTTGGAATCCCAAAACTGTTGCAAAACCTTTGAAAGCAACCCACTGGGGAAATTTAATGGAAGGTCTCATTACCCGTCCTTGGCTTATTATGGGATAGCTCAATGCCAAGCTTGGCAAATCACTGGTTTGCAAAGGAAAGGCGGGGGGGGGGGGGGGGATGACGACAATGTTTGCATTGTTGGATCTATATGTTTTCGATGCATTTTGTTTGCTTCCAAAAATACAGCATAATGGGAGTTGTAGTTTCTCAAGGGCCCAGTGCTGGGGTCTGAAATGTCCAAAATGCATTGTGGTTTTTATACGCAGCTTATATATTATTCCTTTTATACACAATATTTTTTGAAGCCAAATAGTTGTGTTCCTCAAGCAAAGTAACTTTTTTATATTTGAGGTAGTTAAGTTGCAATACCACATTCTGCCACCAGTGGGCACTGCACCCTATTCTCTCCTATGAAGCCCAACCCAGAAAAAAAGGAGAATTTCAGCACATTTTTGAGCATCCCAAAGCAACCTTCAACAACAACAACACTTTATGACCTGCCTCTCCTTGTAACATTCATTTCTACAGTGCCGATTGTAGATTTATAGAGTGGGAGGGGGCTACGAAGGCCATCCAGTTCAACCCTCAGGAGGCATTCTAACCCTCTCACCAAACTCCCATTGAGACCCACAGACCTGCCCCTCTGTTTATGTTTATGTATATATGCAGAGCATAGCAGGGAGGAACCTTCCAACTTCAGGATGCTTTTCTATTCTTATTCTTATAACAGAGGCTAGATGGCCATCTGCCAAGGGGGCTTAGATGGTGCTTTTCCTGTAGGGTAGAAGGGGGTTGAGATGGGGTCCCTTCCAAATCTAGGCTTCTGCATCTGCCTATCTGTCTGTCTGTCTGTCTGTCTGTCTATCCATCCATCCATCCATCCATTCATCTATCCATCCATGCTTGCATCTGTCTGTCTGTCTGTCTGCCTGTCTGTCCATCCATCCAGCCATCCATGTATCATTCCATCCATCTATCCATCCATCTATCCATGCATCTATCTATCCATCTATCTATCCATCCATCTGTCTATCATCTATATCTATCTATCTATCCATTTACTATCTATCATCTGTTTATCTATCTATCACCTATCTATCCATCTATCTATCTATCTATCTATCTATCTATCTATCTATCTATCTATCTATCATCTATTTATCTATCTATCTATCTATCTATCTATCTATCTATCTATCTATCTATCTATCCTTCCTATCTATCATCTATCTATCTATCTATCTATCTATCTATGCATCTATCTATCTATCTATCTATCTATCTATCTATCTATCTATCTATCTATCTATCCTTCCTCTCTCTCTCTCTCTCTCTCTCTCTGTCTATCTATCTATCTATCCTTCCTCTCTCTCTCTCTCTCCTTCCTATCTATCTATCTATCTATCTATCTATCTATCTATCTATGCGTCTATCTATGCGTCTATCTATCTATCTATCTATCTATCTATCTATTTATCTATATATCTATGCGTCTATCTATCTATCTATCTTTCTATCTATGCATCTATCTATCTATCTATTTATCTATCTATCTATGCGTCTATCTGTCTATCTATCTATCTATCTATCTATGATGGCAGAAGGGGGGATGGACTGGTTGGCCTTCTTTGGGCCCCTTTCCATCTCTGTGATTCTATCTATCTGTCTGTCTCTCTTTCTTTATCTATGTTTCTAACTCTATCTATCTATCTATCTATCTATCTATCTATCTATCTATGCATAAGAGGGCAGTATAGCGAGTTAAAAACTTAATGATCTGTATATATGCATCTAACTGATCTATCTATCTATCTATCTATGCGTCTATCTATCTATCTATCTATCTATCTATCTATCTATCTATCTATGCATTTATGCATCTATCTATCTATCTATCTATCTATCTCTCTATCTATCTCCCCATCTATCTGATGCAAAGATATATCAGTCTATCTATCTATCTGCCTCTTATGGCATAAGGAGGTTGATCTAGATGGCTTTCTTTGGGGTTCCTTCCAACTAGGATTCCGTCTGTCTGTCCGTCCGTCCATCCATCTCTCTCTGCCTCTATCTGTCTGTCTGTCTATTATGGTAGAAGAGGGCTGGACTGGATGGCCTTCTTTGGGTCCCCTTCTAAGCTGCATCTGTTCTTTAGGGTACATGCACCCAGAGAAGGCTCAAGACCCTTGGGGAACCACATCTCCCAGCCCAAGTGCGCCCACCCCTCCCTCTTCCAGTGCAGAGCCCCCAAGGGATACTTACGGGCGGTGGGTCATCCGGGAGGGTCAAAGGGGGCTCCGGCCGGAGACGCCGGCCTTGTAGTGGGGGCCGGGCCCTGCCCCCGGACCCTCCCTGCCTGGGAAGCCAATGAAGAGCCAGAGCGGCCGGGAGGCGAGTGGTCAGCCAGACAGGCCTGCCTTTGTGCTGACCACAAAGCAGGTCCTTGTGCCTTCTGCCCAGGGCAAGGCTGGCTCACAGCAGGCAACAGCAGCAGCAGAGAAGCATGTCTGTGGGTCTCCACAATCTCCACATTGTGGCATTGCCAAGGCGGGTTGGCCCCACTTCTCAACCAAGGCTATCTATGGCATCCCGGGAGTCGCGGCCTCGCAAGGCACAATCCGATCCCTCCCAACAGATGCCCATCCAGCATCTGCTTCCAGGACTCTAAAGAAGGATATGTGTGTGTGTATGTTTATGTATATATATGTGTGTGATAATTCCAGGCAGGAAGACACAATCCGATCCCTCCCAACAGATGCCCATCCAGCCTCTGCTTTAAGGCCTCTAGAGAAGGATATGTGTGTGTGTGTGTGTGTGTGTGTATGTTTATGTATATGTGTGTGTGTGATGATTCCAGGCAGGAAGACACAATCCGATCCCTCCCAACAGATGCCCATCCAACCTCTGCTTCAAGGCCTTTAGAGAAGGATATGTGTGTATGTGTGTGTGTGTGTATGTTTATATGTGTGTGTGTGTGTGTGTGTGTGATGATTCCAGGCAGGAAGGCACAATCCGATCCCTCCCAACAGATGCCCATCCAGCCTCTGCCTCAAGGACTCTAAAGAAGGGTGTGTGTGTATGTTTATGTTTATGTATATGTGTGTGTGTGTGTATGTGATGATTCCAGGCAGGAAGACACAATTTGATCCCTCCCAACAGATGGCCACCCAGGCCTCTAGAGAATATGTGTGTATGTGTGATATAATATAATAATATATAACAATTATTATTCCAGACAGGAAGACACAATTCAATCCCTCCCAACAGATGGCCATCCGGCCTCTGCTTCAAGACTTCTAGAGAAGGCTATATATGTGTATGCATGCGTGTGTGTGTGCATGTATATGTGTATGTATATGTATATATATATGTGTGTGTGTGTCTGTGATATATAATATAATATGATGATGGTGGTGGTGGTGGTGATTATTCCAAGGCAGGAAGACACAATTTGATCCCTCCCAACCGATGGCCATTCAGCCTCTTCTTCAAGACCTCTAGAGAAGGAGATATATATGTGTGTGCATGTATGTGTGTATGTATATGTATATATATGTGTGTGTGTATGTGTGTGTGATATATTATATATATACATATACACATATATATCATATATGATGATGATGATGATGATGATGATGATGATGCCAGGGAGGAAGACACAATTCGATCCCTCCCAACAGATGGCCACCCAGCCTCTGCTTCAAGGCCTCTAGAGAAGGAGATAGCTATAGATATAAATAACATTAATATAAATAATAATAAAAATATTAATTATTAATTATTATTAATAATATTAAACATAATAATAAATAACAATAATATAAATCATAATAAAATATGTATTATAAACAACAACAATAAATAATATTAATACAAATAACAATAATATTTATTATGAATATGTATTTTTTATTATTATTATTATTATTATTATTATTATTATTATTATTATTATGATTGATAGGCATGTCTCCTTGTCTCCTTTCCCCTTGGAGGGCATCCAGAGGAACGAAGTCAGCCAGGGGTGACGAGAGAGCGAGGTGATGATGTCTCATCCCTAATTGGCCTGTTAATAATTCAAACGATCCGGAAAGACAAGACCCGTTCATTCAAAGGCAAAGGGGCCCGAGGGAAATATGAGTGCCCCTCCTGGAGGTAATGGAGCTGGGAGAGACTTCCACGGCCACCGCTCCTTGCCATGGGAACCTCGGGAGTTGGAGATCTCCAGGAACTGAGATCTTGTGTCTACACCAAGGAGCCCCCCAAGGATAGAGAAGATCGATAGATAGAATAGAGAGAGATGACAGCCAAACAGAGATAGATAGACAGGTCCATAGATAGGATGATATGGATGAGAGAGAGATGGGTGGGTGGGTGGGTGGGTGGGTGGATGGATAGATAGATAGATAGATAGATAGATAGATAGATAGATAGATAGATAGATAGATAGAGATGCATGGATGGATGGATGGATGGATGGATGGACGGACGGACGGACGGACGGACGGATGGAGGGATAGATGGATGCATGGATAGATGGATAAATGGATGGATGGATGGATGGATGGATAGATGCATGGATGGATAGATAGATGGATGGATAGATGAAGATAGATAGATAGATAGATAGATAGATAGATAGATAAGATAGATAGATAGATAGATAGATAGATAGATAGATAGATAGATAGATAGATGCATGGATGGATGGATGGACAGACAGATAGATAGATAGATAGATAGATGCATGGATAGACGGATGGATTGATTGATGCATGGATGAATGGATGGATACATGGATGGATGGATACATGGATGGATGGATACATGGATGGTTGGATGGATAGATGCATGGATGGATACATGGATGGATGGATGGATGCATGGATAGATAGATAGATGGATAGATGAATGGATAGATAGATAGATAGATAGATAGATAGATAGATAGATAGATGGATGATGATGATGATGGATGGATGGATGGATGGATGGATAGGATGGATGGATGGATGGATGGATGGATGGATGGATGGATGGATGGAAGCATGGATGGATGGATGGATGGATGGATGGATGGATGGATGGGTGGGTGAGATGGATGGAGTAGATAGATAATAGAGACAGATAGAGAATTGCAACTTCCAGCAATCCTCCAGAATAGATAGATTAGATGGATGGATAGGATGGATGCGTATATGGAGGATGACTGGATGGATAGATAGATGGATAGATAGATAGATGGATGGAGTGGATGGATGGATAGATGGATGGATGGATGGATACATGGATGGTTGGATGGATGCATGGATGGATGGATACATGGATGGATAGATGGATGGATAGATAGATAGATAGATAGATAGATAGATAGATAGATAGATGGATGGATGGATGGATGGATGGATGGATGGATGGATGGATGGATGGACGGACGGACGGACAGATAGATGCATGGATAAATAGATTGATTGATTGATGCATGGATGAATGGATGGATGGATAGATGCATGGATAGATGGATGGATAATGGATGGATGGATACATGGACGCATGCATGCATGGATGAATGGATAGATGGATGGATAGATAGATAGATAGATAGATAGATAGATAGATAGATGAATAATCCCAGATGCCTCACCCCGATTTCTGGGGCCTCCCTTGAGGTTTTGCAACAGGCAGGAATGATTGGCATTCCTGGGCTGGTGATGTCACTTCCTCCTCCTCCTCCCCGCCCCATTCCAATGGGTCAGAAGCAGCTCATCCCAAGTGATTCATAGCCGCGCAATGCTTCCCCACACTGGGGCCCTTGCGCACAGCACATTCATAGCCAATCCCATTCATAATGAAACATTGGAAATGCCTTTGAGAGCAAGGCAGTGCCACTCTATCAGTTGCAGGTGGCAAATCAGTGCAAATCACACTGATAGCCAATCCATGCCAATCCCATTGATAGTCAATCTGTGCCAATCCATGCCAATCCCATTGATAGCCAATCAATGCAAATCCCATTGATCGCCAATCCATGCCAATCCCATTGATAGTCAATCTGTGCCAATCCATGCCAATCCCATTGATCGCCAATCAATGCAAATCCCATTGATCGCCAATCAGTGCAAATCCCATTGATCGCCAATCCATTCCAATCCCATTGATAGTCAATCTGTGCCAATCCATGCCAATCCCATTGATAGCCAATCAGTGCAAATACCATTGATTGCCAATCAGTACAAATACCATTGATCGTCAATCAATGTAAATCACATTGATAGTCAATTTCTGCCAATCAGTGCAAATCCTATTGATCGCCAATCAATGCAAATCCCATTGATAGTCAATCTGTGCCAATCCATGCCAATCCCATTGATAGCCAATCAGTGCAAATACCATTGATCGCCAATCAATGCAAATCCCATTGATAGTCAGTTTGTGCCAATTAGTGCAAATACCATTGATCGCAAATCAATGCAAATCCCATTGATAGTCAATCTGTGCCAATCCATGCCAATCCCATTGATCGCCAATCAGTACAAATACCATTGATCGCCAATCAATGCAAATCCCATTCATAGATAATCTGTGCCAATCCCATTGATTGCCAATCAGTGCAAATACCATTGATGTTGTTGTTGTTGTTGTTACATCCTGGCTTTTGCAGCATTGCTTTGCACAGTCAGGGAGTGGATTGATTGTCTCCGGGATTGCTTTGGACTCGAGTTCCCATCATCCCCAACCAGGATGCAAAGCCGTGTCTCTTGTGGGTCTGCATTTCCCCCTTAGAGGGAGGTTGATTCCCATCACGTCACCCACGGAGCCACAGATTTGCGAGATGGCCTCAGAGTCCCATTAGGTCTCGTAAGCCGGCAAAGATGGGGACGCTCCCTGTTGCTGATCCCTTGTTGATCCCCCTTCGCTCGCCTTGGCTCTTTGTGTTTTTAATGCCCTAAAGAGCCCATCTGGAGCTCACCGCCTTCGCTTTCAGGCCCTCAAACCCATAATCCCCTTTCCCAAAAGAGGAAAACAGGCTCCAATCCCATTGAGAGAGAGAGAGAGAGAACCCACTCTGACCCATTGGCCTCTGGCTGCAGCAAAGCAAACATCCCAGAGCTTCCCCATATATTCCCAAAGATGATAGATAGATAGATAGATAGATAGATAGATAGATAGATAGACGGATGATTGATTGATTGATTGATTGATTGTAGATAGATAGATTTAGATTATGGGTAGCAGATAAATAAATGATAGTAAATAGATAGATAGATAGATAGATAGATTGATAGATCGATAGATAGATACAAGTTGGGTAGGTAGATGATAGATGGATGATTGATTGATTGATAGTAGATAGATTTAGATTATGGGTAGCAGATAAATAGATGATAGTAGATGGATAGATCAATAGATAGATAGATAGATAGATAGATAGATAGATACAAGTTGGGTAGGTAGATGATAGATAGATGGATGATTGATTGATTGATTGATTGATAGCAGATAGATAGATTTAAATTATGGGTAGCAGATAAAGAAATGATAGTAGATAGGTAGATAGATAGATAGATAGATAGATAGATAGATAGATAGATAGATAGATAGATGTTGGGTAGGTAGATGATAGATCGATGATTGATTGATTGATTGATTATAGATAGATAGATTTAGATTATGAGTAGCAGATAAAGAGATGATAGTAGATAGATAGATCAATAGATAGATAGATAGAAGTTGGGTAGGTAGATGATAGATGGATGATTGATTGATTGATAGTAGATAGATAGATTTAGATTATGGGTAGCAGATAAATAAATGATAGTAGATAGATAGATAGATAGATAGATAGATAGATAGATAGATAGATAGATGGATAGATAGATAGATACAAGTTGGGTAGGTAGATGATAGATAGATGGATGATTGATTGATTGATTGATTCATAGTAGATAGATAGATTTAGATGATGGGTAGCAGATAAAGAGATGATAGTAGATGGATAGATCAATAGATAGATAGATAGATAGATAGATAGATAGGGATGATGGTCAGGTGCCTTGGACTCCTCTTTCCTTGGTCTGATTCGTTCCAAGGTGCTTGGGCGCTGTGCCCGCCTCCTCTGCGGCTGAGAGAGTGTGGCCCATCCAAGCCCTCGTCCTCCGCCCCCGAATGGGAAACTCATTTCGCTGAGTGATTTTACATTAAACCCTCGGTGCGGCCAAACCCTTTTAGAGCCCGGTGACGTTGGCCGAGCAAATCTCCCTTCGGACTTTTGGCTTTTAATGTCCTAAAGAGACCATTTCCAAGGCCGAGCCCCCAGCGCACTCCCTTGCGCATGGAGGGATTAAGCGGGTAATCCCTTCTTCCTCCATCCAGGGTTCCTCTCCCCACCTTAAAGCTTCTGCAGGGAGGAAGAGGGCAGGAGCATCCCCAACTGACCCAGAGGCAGGCGTCCGTCCGCAGAAGGAGAACCATCCCTTTGCCCCCCAACAAAGGTATTTATAGATCATATTTTCATTGATGTTGCCCATTTCCATGATATGTGCGTTTACTTGGGGGTGTCTCTACACCCGGGATGGGCAAACGTGGGCCCTCCAGGTGTTTTGGACTCCCAACTCCCACAATTCCCACAAGGATTTGCAGTTATCACGATATATTGTTGCATTGGAAGGTTTTGCAACTATAGTGATATATTGTTGCATTGCAAGGCTTTGCAATTATCACGATATATTGTTGCATTGGAAGGCTTTGCAATCATTGCGATACATTGTTGCATTGCAATATAGTAATATATTGTTGCATTGCAAGGCTTTGCAATTACCATGATATATTGTTGCATTGGAAGGTTTTGTGATCATCTTGATACATTGATGCATTGGAAGGCTTTGCAATTATCATGACACATTGTGGCATTGAAAGGCTTTGCAATTATCATGATATATTGTTGCATGGCAAAGCTTTGCAATCATAGTGATATATTGTTGCATTGAAAGGTTTTGCAATTATCATGATATATTATTGCATTGGAAGGCTTTGCAACTATAGCGATATATTGTTGCATTGCAAGACTTTGCAATTATCACAATATCTTGTTGCATTGCAAGGCTTTGCAATTATCATGATATATTGTTGCACTGGAAGGTTTTCCGATCATCTCATACATTGATGCATTGGAAGGCTTTGCAATTATCATGACACATTGTTGCATTGAAAGGCTTTGCAATAATCATGATATATTGTTGCATTGCAAGGCTTTGCAATCACTGCAATATCTTGTTGCAATTCAAGGCTTTGCAATCATAGCGATATATTGTTGCATTGCAAAGCTTTGCAGTTACCATGATGTTTTGTTGCTTTGCAAAGCTTTGCAATCATAATGATATATTGTTGCATTGCAAGGCTTTGCAATCATAGCGATAGATTGTTGCATTCCAAGGCTTTGCAATCACTGCAATATCTTGTTGCATTGAAAGGCTTTGCAATCATAGCGATATATTGTTGCATTGCAAAGCTTTGCAATTATCATGATATATTGTTGCATTGCATGGCTTTGCAATCATAGTGATATACTGTTGCATTGCAAGGCTTTGCAATCAGTGCAATATCTAGTTGCATTGCAAGGCTTTGCAATCATAGTGATATATTGTTGCATTGCAAGGCTTTGCAATTATCATAATATATTGTTGCATTGCATGGCTTTGCAATCATAGTGATATACTGTTGCATTGCAAGGCTTTGCAATCAGTGCAATATCTAGTTGCATTGCAAGGCTTTGCAATCATAGTGATATATTATTGCACTGCAAGGCTTTGCAATCATAGCGATATATTGTTGCATTGCAAGGCTTTGCAATCAGTGCACTATATGTTTGCATTGCAAGGCTTTGCAATTTTCACGATATAATGTTGCATTGCAAGGCTTTGCAACCATCGTGATATATTATTGCCTTCCAAGGCTTTGCAACCATCATGATATATTGTTGCATTGCAAGGCTTTGCAATCATAGTGATATCTTGTTGCATTGCAAGACTTTGCAATCATAGCAATATATTGTTGCATTGCAAGGCTTCGCAAACATAGCGATACATTGTTGCATTGCAAGGCTTTGCTATTATCATGATATATTGTTGCATTGCAAGGCTTTGCAATTATCACAATATAATGTTGCATTGCAATATTTTGATATATTGTGCACAGAGGATTCGAACCCAGGTCCAACAGTTTTGAATACGTTCTGAATTTTCAAATTCAGAATATTTCACTTTTTTTTAATGTTGTTAGATTTTCAAATGGTATCGAAATGCTTTGAGTGCCAGCTGTTTTGAGTCTGAAAAAGCAGTACATAAACAAACAAACAAACAACAACAATGGGGACACTGCTGCTGTTTCTTCTGCAGCCTCCTGTTGACTTTGCAAAAGGTTTGTTTCTTTGCTTTCCCCTCGAAATGGCAAACATGACGAGGCCGGCCTGAATGCCTCCTTTGACTTGGTTTGCCTGCGGACTGTTTTGCACGGGGGAAAACCAATTAGAAAGGATAGGAAATGAGGTCTGCTTGCCCAGAGCTGAGTCAGGCAGGGCAGTGTCTGGAGGCAGAAAGGGAAACAGGACACCTTGGGCCTGGCTTGCCCCCCTGTCTCATTGCGGCCCATAAAAGCCCATCCGCTGCCCTCCAGTCTGCCCAGTCCAAGTCCCTCCAAGTGGTAAGTATGGGCCTCCCTTCCCCTTTTTCCTCTTGCAAAAGCATGCACGTTCCCCCCTCCCTTGCTCGGCTGATGGGTCTCTGCCATGGAATGTGCATTGTGCATTTGCTCATTGAGTGCAGGCTGGGCTCTGGCCAAGGCCTGGCTCAGATCCCCGCTGAACAACACTTCCGCAAGCTCTTCCCACTTGGATTATTGTCATTATTATGATGTTTGGTTTTCTCCGTGCAGAGCCCGAGGATGCCAGGCAGCTCCAAACTGCACCCATGGCCAGGCAGGACAAGGCCGCCCCAGACCCAAGGCTCCACTTCCTCTCTTCTTTCCACGCCTTTCTTCCTGTTCTTCACTTTTTCTTTTGCAAATAAAGGAAAAAGGGTTGTTCCTTTCCTCCTTTCCTCCATTCTTTCCTTCTTCGTTTTCTCCTTCCTTTATGTCTTCCTTCCCTTCCCTTCCTTCTTTCTTTCTTTCCTTCTTTCTTCCTTTTTCCTCTTTTTTTCTTCCTTCCCTCTTTTTTTCCTTCCTTTCTTTCTTTCTCCCTTTTCCTTTTTCCATTTTTAAAAATTAAATTAATACTATCTTTCTTCCTAATTTTTTATTCATTAATTCTTATAATCATTTCCTTATTTATAAAATTAATGTATAAATATTAATTAACATAATTCACTATAATTCCTTTCATTATTATTATATTTCTACTCATTTTAACCATATCATTCACATATTACGTCCTTCATTACTCTCCTCCCCCACACGTTAAGTACTTTTCTTCCCATTACAATACATTCTTATTTTCAATGTCCGATTTATACCATTAGCTACCTTCTTAGCTAATAACTATTTAAACTCTATACTTCCACTTAATAATTTCACTTATCTTATCCTTCTCCTCTTACTTTCCACTTTCCTTTCCTTACCTTCATCCTTACATCCATCCAATCCTTCTTCAAATATCCATCTTCATTACTTCAATCCTTTCTTACAATTTCCTTAATTAAATAAATCGCAAGACTTCCTTCTAATAACTCTTTTCTTCATCTTAACTTCCTTCACTTAATTCTTAATTCCACTAATCATTACCTTCAATTACTTCATCTCTATAATTCTATTATTAGGATAAATAGGCATCATGTGCAGCCGACATCCCACTCATCATCAAGAACCTGGCTATATAATTTTCACATCATTATTTAATAATAATCTTAGCCCTTCTTAATCTTTTTCATTCCTTATATGATAATTCCATCCTTACATTCCTGCTACTTTCTTATTAAACCTTCTGCTACTATCTTTTATAGTACTTTTAATACCTTATAATTTTCTCCTTTTTCACATCTTTACTTTTCATATTCCTATCAAGATTTATCTACTTCAATTATCCTAAAATCTTTATATCCTTCCTTCTCCTCTTTTATCCATTCCCTATCTCTTACTTTTTCTCTATCCTTATTTCATAGCATTCTGATATAATCTTCTTATTTCCATAAAATTTTTTCCATTCACATTACATTCTTAATCACTTCCTTTCATAATTCTTACAATTTTACAATACTTTTATCCATTCATATCCATTATTTTCACTTTTTTCTTTTCTTCCTTCCTTTCCTCTTTTTCCTTCCTTCCCTTCTTCTTTCCTTCCTTTCCTCTTTTCTTCCTTTTCCTTTTTTTACCCTTCCTTCCCTTTGTCCTTCCTTCCTTCCTTTCCTCTTCTTCCTTCCTTTCCTCTTTTATCCCTTCCCTTCTTTCTTTTTCCCTTCCTTTCTTTTCTTCCTTCCTTTTCCTCTTTTATTCTTCCTTCCCTCCTTTCTTCCTTTCTTTCCTTCTTTCTGGCTTTCCTCTTTTTACTCTTCCTTCCCTTTTCCTTCCTTCCTTCCTTCTCCTCTGTTTACCCTTCCTTCTCTTTTTCCTTCCTTCCTTCCCTCTTTTATTCCTTCCTTTCCTCTTTTATCCCTTCCTTCCCTTCTTTCTTCCTTCCTTCCTTCCTTCCTTCCTTCCTTCCTTCCTTCCTTCCTTCCTTCTCTTCCTTCCTTCCTTCCTTCCTTCCTTCCTTCCTTCCTTCCCTCCTTCCTTCCTTCCCTCCCTCCTTCCTTCCTTCCCTCCCTCCGTCCTTCCTTCCTTCCCTCCGTCCTTCCTTCTTTCCTTCCTTTCCTTCTTTCTTGTCCATGGCTCATGTTCAGCCGTATATCCCACTATCATCAAGCCCTGGCTATATTATTTTCCTCCATCTGGACACTAGACTCCTCTGGATGCAGCTTAGGATCGCATTGGCCTTTTCTGCTGCTGCATCACACTCCTGGCTCATGGTCAGCAGTATATATTCCTATGGTCAAGCCCTGGCTATATTATTTTCCTCTATTTGGACACTAGACTCCTCTGGATGCAGCTTAGGATCACATTGGCCTTTTCCGCTGCTGCGTCACACTCTTGGCTCATGGTCAGACACTTAGATAAAATAATAATAATAATAATAATAATAATAATAATAATAATAATAATAATAATGGATCGCATGGCCTGTTTCCCAAGCCAGTGCCCCCCAATCCTAAATCTGTTTGTTTCTCTGACCCCTTTGCAGCAGAAGCCGGCCATTCTCCCTCCGTCTCCATCTGTCCATCCGTCCATCCGTCCATCCTCATGGCGAGCGGGGAACTGACCGAGCTGGAAACGGCCATTGAGAAGATTGTGTACATCTTCTTCTCGTACGCGGCCCGAGAAGGGAAGAAGGGGACGCTGACCGCTGGGGAGTTCAAGGAGCTGGTCCATTCGCAGCTGCCCAACCTCATGAAGGTCAGACTATAGATAGATAGACAGATAGATAGATAGATAGATAGATAGATAGATAGATAGATAGAGGGGGGTCAGTGCATGGGTGCCTGTCTACCTGCCTGTGTTTTTCCCACAGAAAAGAGGAGAAGAACAGAAAGAAAGAAAGGGAGGAAGAAGGAAGGAAAGAAGGGAGAAAGAAAAGAAAGAAGGAAGGAGGAAAAGGAATGAGAAGGAAGGAAAGAGGAGAGAAGTAATAAAGAAGGAAAGAAAGAAAGAAAGAAAGAAAGAAAGAAAGAAAGGGAATGAAGGAAGGAAGGAAGGAGAAGGAAAGAAAAAAGGAAGGAATAAGGAAAGAAAAAGAAAAAAGGGAAGGAAAGAAAGAAAGAGAAAGAGAAAAAGGAAAGAAAAAGAAGAAAGGAAGGAAAGAAAGAAAAAGAATGATAAAAAAGGAAGGAAGGAAGAAAAGGAAGAAGAAAGAAAAAAGAGAAAAAAGGAACAAAAGAAAGACAGAAAGTAAGAGAAAGAGAAAAAGGAAAAGGAAGGAAGAAAAGGAAGGAAGGAAGGAAGGAAAGGAGGAAGGAAAGATGAGAAGAAGAGGGAAGGAAGGAAGGAAAAGGAGAAGGAAGGAAAGACGTAAAGAAAAGAAAGAATGAAGAAAAAGGAAAAGGAATGAGAAGGAAGGAAAGAGGAGAACAGCAGGTTTTAAGACCCAAAAATTAAACAAAAGTAAAGTCAATGAACGATAAGAAACAAACAGGACGGTAATCAACATATCCCACCTAAACCCAAAGAAGCAACACAGTCAGGAAGGACACAGCACCCCCCCCTCCCGTGCCACCTAGTCCCACCAATATCCCCGCCTCCCTTTTTAAAACCTCCCCCAAAGAGAAAGAAAGAAGAAGGAGGGAAAAGGAATGAGAAGGAAGAAAGGGAGGGAAGGAAGAAGGAAAGGAGAAAGGAAGGAAGGAAGAAAGGAAGGAAGGAAGGGGAAAGGAATAAAAGAAAGAAAAAAGAGGAGAAGGAAGGAAAGAGGAGAGATGGGAAGGAAGGAAGCAGGGAAGGAAGGAAGAAAGGGAGAAGGAAATAAAGGAACTAAAAAGAATGGAAAAGGAAGGAAAGAGGAGAGAAAGAAAAAGAAGGAAAGGGAAGGGAAGGAAGGAAAGAGAAAGAAGGAAAGAGAGAGAAGGAAGGAAGGAAAGAAGAAGGAACGAAGAAAGAAAAAGAAGAGAAGGAAGGAAAATAGATGGAAGGAAGGAAGGAAGAAAGGAAGGGAGAAGGAATGAAAGGAACTAAAAAGAAGGGGAAGGAAGGAAAAAGAAGGAGGAGAAGAAAGGAAGGAAAGTAAGAAAGGAAAGAAGGAGGAAGAAGAGGAAAAAGGAAGGAAGGGGAAGGAAGGAAAGGAAGAAAAGAAAGAAAGAAGAGAGAAGAAAGGAGAAAAAGAGG